AGTTGAATACTCATAATACTGCCAAAACTTAAACCAAATTATGAGTTTAATTTTCCATTTTAAATTGAATTAAAAAGAAAAATACCTTTATAATTTACCTTATATTATAGTCATTGTAGCATTTCTGTAAAGGGGAATATCATCGTATTTTAAATTGCACGTAGTTTCAATTTAGTCTTCTTACATTTTTAATATTCAACTTTAAAGAGGTCTGTCTGCACATAGTGTTCTTCATGCATCTGTTCACGTAAGAGTCTTTCCCCTCTCCTCCATTACACCATTTCTTTTTATTCTCATGCTTGAACTTTCCTCTTTTTGGCCAGTAGCCACAGGCAGTCAATATGAGGTCTCCCGAGAGCTCACATCATGGGGCATGGGTTTTTCAAGGCCAAGGTTTTACATATATCCATGAGCTTTACTCAGAGCGCCTTTCATAATCCTTTCTTAATAACAATGGCTGATGAGTACCTTTCTTCTGAGGACTTTCTGTGAAGACGATGTTTATACAGCCAAGACAGCAGATTGCTGATAAATCAAAGAATCCAAGTTTTTCTCTTGGGGTGGACTAGAAGTACCATCTCTGGAGCACAAATGTTGCTCTGAGCTTTTGCCCTGTCAGTTGCAATGCGACTGTTCGTTAGTGTTTGAGGTGCCTCACCTTTGTTCCTATGTTAATGCTGTAATGACTACCAATTCTCTGTTTATGAGCTGCTGCTGCCACCTATTTTTATGATACCAAAGAAAGTATATATCAGATTATGTCCTCTGTTAATATCTACTCATGTTTTTAAGCCTTGGTTTTTTTTCAGTTTAATGGCAAAAACAAACCATCAAACCAAGCTAAGGAAAGATATATGCACTGAGAAATTCAGCCTTTTCCTAAAACACTGCTACACATCTTCTGGGAGAGCTGAAATCTCCTTTCTTAGTAAAATGCCAGCTTTTGATTGGAACTGATTATTTTCATTACTAAAAAATGAGGAAAATAATGTAATGGTCCAAGGACACAAGTATGCCTCCTAGATTACTTAAGTTTCTTGGGAAACTTTTATAGCTATGTTAATTTAAAAGGGTATTTCTCTTTTCAAATCCCACGAGAGTTGCTTGAGAACAAAAACTTGAGTAAAATCATAACCACAACATGCTGGGCTGGCTATACAAGCATAGCTAAGAGCAAGAACTTTTCATCTTTCCAGCAAGAAGTACCTCAAGATGAGCAGTTGTGCTGATGTTGCAGCCTCTGACCTGATTTTCCTTCAGCACAGCTACAACTTGTTTGATCTTTTTGCCACTAGGAAGCTCTTTTTAATCGTGTCATTTGTAGCAGTCATGTAGGAGATTATTTTCTACTTCACACTGCTTCACAAACATTATCTCGTGGAACTGGCTGGCTGTTGCAGCAGGAACGGTGTTGTGCAGATCTTCTCTGGGGTCTGTGTGAAGTCAGGAATAATTCATCGCAAGAAACAAATGGGAGTGATCCATCTGTCCTACTGCAAAAGAAGGTGTTGCTTTTTCTTCGAAGCAATGCAAAGCCATCACCCTGCATGGCTTTGAGTTTCTGTGCTGTTTAGTTAAGTACTAAAGTGTTGCGTGTCTTCTGTTTCTTATGGCTTTTACTCAGATGTGGAAAGAAAGATCAAGTAATGTAACCACTTTCTTCCAAATTGTGGGCCAGAATCTCAGCTGGTGTAAGTCAGCAGAGCTCCACTGACATTATTAGTACTTCAGTGATTCACACCAGCTGTGGATCTGGTCTTCTGTCTCAATTTATGAAGGGTTTGAACTAAATGTCAGGAAATATGAAATGATCTCTTACAGTCAGCAGTTCTCCAGATGTGTTAATGGAGTTTAAGTTTACCAAAAGGAAAGACTTCAAAAAGTGATCCAACACAAGAATAAACTTTCAAGAAGAATGCCTTACTTACAGGCTTTTTGGCAAGAGAGGACTATACAACTCACTGCAATTTAAAGAAATTAACTCGGTTATGCATCAGGATATGGTAATACAGCTTCAGGGAGAATCCAAGATTCAAAATAATTTCAGAGCACAAAGCAAGCTGTTGGCATTTAGTGAATAATTGCCATGCAAGCAGGCATCATCAACTCTTAAAAGCAAAATTAAGTTGCTTATGAACTTCATGTAGAAAGCCTAATGCTTCCACTTTGCAAGTGTAGTTGGGTTTATTCACAGGCGCGGTATTACAGCTTTTGGAGATTAAATGAGGACCATGTTGTTACAAGAACACAGAAGCTTAATAGTTCTAGCTGTGTAATGTTAAAAACTCAACAGTGATTTGGCTTATAGATGTGATCTCATGTATAGTGTTGAAAACAGTTATTTTAGCCAATGAGGATAAAATTGTTGTTGACATTGCTTAAGCACTGTCAGCCTTACTTTTCAAAATCAGAAAATGCTGGAATAGGTGAAACCTCAAAGTCAACAAATGTGGGGTCTCAGAAGTCTTTTAGTCTTATATGCCTAGTCTTATATGCCTATATGGCATATGAGCATATGCTCTAAAAAAAACTTCCAGTACCTGAAATAGCCTGTGGTGGCACAGAGGTCTTCACAGCCTAATTTATTTGCTGATGAGACCTTTCAGAATTAATTAAAATGATAAGTGTGTGGCTCCACACTGTGTGATTTACATATGTTCTCACTGGAGTCTTAATGCTATAGATAGACCTAGAAAGGTAAAAGAACAACACACCTTCAATAAGTAAACTTGAGCATGACACTGTGTTGGGGTATGCTACCTATATTTAAAAAAAAAATTAGGGTAGAAATAAGTTGATTGCTAGCAATCAGAACAGCATGGAGTGATCCAATCCTGCTGACCAGAGGTCATTGGCTAAGGGTCCGATTCTGGCAGGTTTGTGTCACAGTTAGTTCAAGTGACTTTTGGTGAGACACACATCTGTCTAGATGTCACTGCATACCAAAAGGAAAAAAAAATGCTTGGACACAATTTGTTCAGACCTGAAGGAAAGTGTTTTGGAAGAGTTCACAGAGAAAGCTAGTTAGACTTCCAGAGAAAGTAATTATCATAATCTGTATATACCAGTATATTGAATTTAGTGGTTTGCAGAACTGGGGTGATGGATAGAGTGGTGAGGAAACCCTTCTGAATACTGGAGAGCTCTTAGGAAGTGACGGCATCCAAGACTCAGCATTTACTGGGCTTTTGCTGATTCCCCAGGAGCATGGGGGACTCCACCTCAAAATGAAAATCATTCCCCAGATCCACAGCAGGAAACATCGTATTGAGAGCTCTGAACCTCCAAGGGCTTGACAAACTTGAAGTGTGAGAGGCTATGAATCACGCAGTGGCTGGGGTCTTAGGAAGCTCATTGCATTTTGAAGATTGCAGTGTTTTATGAATACTTCTGCTCCCTAGAGATTTCTAGGTAGGAGTTCTGGAAAACTTGGTTCTGAATCTCTCTGAAACCAAATTTAAAAAGAAAAAAAATTGCTGAATTTCACTAACTGTATTGGCTGTACAATGTGGAGCAGTTGAAGGCAAATGCTTGAATTAGTATGAACATTAAGATTGCTTTTGCATGCCTCGTTGCACTAAGCCCTCATATGGCAGCATCTGAGAGTAATACTTTCTATCACTTCTGTCTAGTTCTTCCCATCCTGGTGGCTGATGTGTTGGCCTTGGTAATATAAGAATTTTTCACCTTCTGTCAGGATTACACCAGTGGAATATACCTGTGCATGAAGACATCAACCCTTATGAAACTCCAGCCAGTCTAAAATGCTACAATACAAGCACATCAAGTCTGCTCCCTGCTTCCTACACCGATTCCCTACAGCTTGCTGAGCCAAGATTAAGAGATTATGTGTTATTTTCAAAGCAGCTAGTGATACCAACCTGGAATATCTTGTCACTGAAAACACCCATATCTGTGATCAATAATTCTCCTCTAAAAGCTCACAAAAGTAAAGTTGTCTGTGCAGGACTCAAAGATTTTTTGTGGAGTCAGCCTATATGTATAAGATCAATTCCTATAGGTATCAGAAGCTGTTGCAAAAGCCACCATTTTTGGAAACACAAGGTACCTTGCCTTCCCAGGCATAAGCGCAGAGCTGTCTTTACCAGAATGGTGTCTCAGAGAGAGAGGAGAAACGATGAACGTGGCTCTTGGCAAACGCCAGGAGCTTGTATAGCCAAGAGACATTTAAATGATCTACATTGATGAGGACAGTCAAAGGAGTGCTGAATAGGACTGATTGATGCAGAGTAGCATGTTATTCAGTGTAATGGATGTCTGATTCAGGCACAAAGTTTTCTGGTAGGACTCTGGTGTCCAGCTATCTGAGGGCAAACCTGCACCTCGGCATACACATATCAGTGAATGGCGAGTGCTTCTGTTTGCAAACATTTATAGCAAATGTAAACATCACATACGTACAGGGGAAGGCCAGGGATTTGAAAGTCCCCGACTACCTGGATTCATGGATTATGGAAGGATTTTCTTAATTTGCCTTTGTTTTCTTCAGCTCTACTGTTTGGAGAGAGGCTCGCACCTTCAGGGCGTGGACCTTTGAGGCAACTCAGTCTGATTCTTCCTATGTCTCCATGTCAAACTGATGGACAACAGACACATGCTTAGCACCAGGGAAAAAATAAAGAGCGGTTAACAGAGCATCATCCTGTGCGGTAGTAGAAGAGCAGATCCTTTGTATGTTTTCTGCATATGTTCTGCTCTCCCTAGCTCTCCATGTGCAGATTGTGGGTGAAATGGTCATTCTCAGGGTCCTAAAAATTGTAACGAAATAGCTGAAGCCTTGACATTTATAAGCTGAATTTCATCTGTTTGTTTTGCCATTGCCATCTCAGCAAGTAATTAGCAAGCACTTTTCTCTTACACATAACCTTAACAAAAAGCTCAAAATACACTATTAAATGGTTACCTTGGCGGTGTGTATGTTGGAATTGTTTATATCTGTATCTAAATTTGTTTCGAATTTCTTTGTTTTATATTTCCAGACCTGGTCTGACCTCACAGAAGACATCGGGCAAGCATTCCCTGGATGTCATGTCTCTCGAAACACTGGAAAACACTTGTGAGCCGGAGGACCTCTTTGATGACATCTAGCTATGTGTTGGCTGAGAAATTGGGAGACCAGCGCTTCTAATAGAGATAAGCTATAAAACTAAAAGGCTTTGTTATAGACACTGTGCCGAAATCTTTACTCTGAGGTGGTATTCGATGACATATTGCTCTAATCCTCTTGCACTGCACTTGTCCCCATTCTTCACTATGCGGTTGTAGACCCTTGGCCTGCTAGGCTTGATTTGTGACGGCCTTGAAATCAGTTTAGCCTCTGTGTAGATCTTTTATCATGTGTATATGGGGAAGGAGCACCATCATAGCATTTTTGCATCCTAACAGTCTCTGGCTGCTGATTGTATCCAGGATCAACTGGTTTCCAGATGTCCCCAGAGAGTATGTCAAACATAAACAAGATTAAGGCTACCACTGTACTTACCTTATATACTGCCCCTTTCTTGAGAAGCTCAGCTTAGATGTGGTCTAGCTAAATCATCTTCAACTCTGACTAAGATATAGCTTCCTAAAATGAGTTTAGAATGATATCTTCTGACATGAAGCATCCAAAGAAATGTCCTTTCACTTTTTACTTGCAGGTTCTCTGCAGCATTATGCATTATAAGATATTCTTGCTTTTGGGAGTAAAGTGCTTGTACAGTCAATATTGACTCATTTTAACCTTCTGTAGAAACCCATAGCCTTTAAAATTGTCATTTTTGATACTTCATCATTTATATGAAGGTGATTTCTAAAAAAATAAAATGCATTCTAAAAATACATCAATTTTGTTTTTATTTGCTTAGATACTCTATGAGTAAAGGGACTAGTTAGCAAAGCGTGTTAATGCATGACCTTTTCCTGCCCAAAGCTGATGCATTAATTTAGATTTAAGGCTTCATCAAAGAAAAAGTTAGCAACAAGTATTTACCTTCAGTGGTCAAAATAAAGTGTACAGAACTAAGCATGCATGTCAGGTTTCTGCTTTATAATTTTAAGAGCCTGAATCAATTCTTGTTTTAAGACAGAGGGAGCCAGTTCTTCTGTCTCAGGAAGGGCGTGATCCAACAAGGGTTTTAAACATGTGAGTAATCCCATTGAAGTCAGCAGGACTATGCAACATCATCCTGCTTCAGTTCTGTCTGGTTTGCAATGGTCCTTGGAAGCTACTTGGCATTTTTGAAATGGCGGCTTATTTAGGCCCTGATTCTGCGAAAATTCAATCCTATATTTAACTAAAAGCATCCTTGTCAGTATTTTCAGGATCAGGGCCTCATTTAAGAACCTACATGAGGATCTGGAAATATTATCTTTAAGCATTCCTTTCTGAAAAACATGGTCACAGCATTTTAAATTCACAAAGGGCTTTGGGACAATGTTATAAATCACACAGTAAAAACCTGAATGGCCAAAATATTTTGCTTGCTACAAAGCCTTTGTGCCTGAGAAATGACAGGACCACAAAAGACCTATTCATACACCCATTCATAGACATTGCCTGATTTAAAATCTTCCAGTGCTGATCTGACAATGCTTTCAGCTAAAGCTTGTATATAGTTTCAGTTTTAATGTGAAAATGTTCCATGACTTAACTCAAAATACAAGAGCTTAGTTTAATTGTGCCTGCAGCAGAAAATTAAGGTAAATGGAGCTGAACATCCCGCGAAACTCTGCTTTCAAGAAACTGTTGGTTTCTAATAGTAAAATGTTGTTATATAAATAGGAAATGTTACACACAGTTGGCAGATGTAATAAAGCCTGTCAGAATGTTTATTCTTTTCTCTTTTTTTGAGGTTTATAGAATCAAGACAGGAGTTGAGCAGAAAATTACGTGATGGCGGATACATACCTTGGACTGTGTGAGCACAGGTCTGTCGTCTAGTTAGGGTAGCCATGGTGCGGAGCCAGTTTCCAGTCAGCTGAGACAGTTTGTATACACAGGGACACCTCCTCTCCTCTTGAAGCCTACTTACAATATGTCCGTCTCCACAACCGTGTGAGAAGTGTTAGTGAAATGCTCCTTTCTGAAGATTTATGTGAGAAACACTTGCTTTTCTGCTGATAAGGTTCCATTTTCCAGTTGACTTTGAAGAGGAAAGACCCACCAAAATGAGCACAAATTATTTGTGAGAGCAGAGGTAGTATTGCAAAAGCTGCAGAAAGTCAGTGAAACTTCTTTATGATGCATATTTGTCCACAAGAAGTGGGGACATCCACTTTATCCTCAAATGTGTTCATCCCAATGCATTGAAATAGACCCAATGGCCTTCATTGACCAAGCCAAGTAAAATCTGTTTCAAACTAACCTGTGATGTTTGGGAAGGGAACTCAGTAATAATGCCTCATAACATATTTTTTAAAAACCTGCTAAATTAATATGATACTCAGTGCTGCTTGGTTAGGTCTCCAAGAAAAGCTGGGATCTTTGCTATCCCTCCACGCCGATGGAGTTCCTGCTGCAGGGGCTTTCCAAAGCTTACACAGCAGAAGTTCCCTTGTGAGTCAATAGACAGTGCTCCTATTCATGTATCGAATATAATGTTCACCTATTTCACAATGGTGTAACTTCTCCTAGTTTATGTTCATGCTGTGATCCACCATAATCCTCAGATTCTTCCGTGCAGAGTTACTGGGTAGTCACTTGTTTTTCCATTCTGCGTTTGTGCAGCTGACTCTTGCCATATGGGTTTAGTAACTGGCCTTTAACTGTATTGACTTGCATCCCATTTTTGTAGCTGATTTCTCTAGTTTGTCAAGATGATTTTGAATGCTCATTCTTCCTCAGTTTGGTATTATGGGTGAATGTAGTAAGTTCGTTCTCCATTGCTAACATCCAGACCATTAGCGAAAACATTGAACAGTTCTGGACTTAAGCCTCACTCCATTCATCCTTCTATTTATTAGAGCTACTAAACTTAGACTTACTTTGCGAGCATGGTTTTCTAACTCACCTTTTGGAAGACCATGTTTTCCAGGCGTGCCTATAAAACTGTCACATGAAATAGCCTGACATGAGATGTCAGTCAATTGCTTCTCCCTTGTCCAAAATATTTTAGTGGAGACAGAAGACAAAATAGAGAAACATGCCCACAAATGGTTTTTCAAGACAGGAAATTAACCAAAGTTAGGAAATGCAGATCAAGTTTCAAAGGCCATCCTTAATTAATATTTATCTTTGATATTACTCTGCAAATGATTTCCCAGGTAATTTTTTTCTTCAGTTTAAACTGTACTTTTGGGGAAGATAAAACATGTAGTTGTTTTACAGGAGGAAAACCATGCTATCTTTCATTAAAGGTTTAGACTCGTCTAGAGTTTTATACTTTTAATGTAACTACTTAAACAGAATGTACGTTTTTATGCATAACAATTTGTCATTTGAGGTCTGGGTTTATCCAGCAAATCTTTTAGTTCAAAAAGATTTACAATATTTATTTCAAGAGAGAAAAAAATTGTTCTGAACCAAAAAGAACCTGTCTTTCCTTGAGGAAGTGCTGTATAAAGTATTGCCTTTGGGATGAAAATATTATTTTGATTTTGGGATAATGTTTTGGCAATCTATATCACTATTTTAACTACCTTCTCGCTATTATTCCCAAAAGTAGACACTCATGTGTATATGCCAGTTCTTCCTTACTTTGTACCTGTGACATATAAATGATTGTGTGTATAAACATGATTCCTTGGAAATGTTTAGTATAGTCTAGCTGGCTTTGACAACTTCTGCAGTTTGATCTAGCAGCCTGGAGGTGCTTGAGGAAAGAAAAAGCCCTTACACATGGGAATTCAGATGCTGCTAAATGTTTAAGGTAAATCTGCTTTTTTCTGACTTGCCATCTGCTTTGTGGGAAAATAAAATGTGAAAAAAGTGAAGTAAGAATGGTAGGAGAACAAAGCAATAAAAGCATGTCCAGACTGCTTAGAGACTGAAGGTAATATATTTGAACATCTTCTGAGCAATACTAATTTAGAAAAATGTGCCAGGAGCTGGTTAACCACTGAAAGAGGAGCAGCTAGGAGAGGGTTTCCATCTTCTGGAAACCCTCTTCTATTCCCTCTTGTCTCCAGTAATGCATCAATCCTCTCAGCAGGGGTTAGTACCACTTTTCTGCTAAATATTTTTCTGCTCTAATTTTATTCTAATTCCCTTCACAAAGTCTCAGGTCTCATCAAATCTTTTTCCTAAATTTCCTTTTGGCGATCTGTCATTCTCTGTCTCATTTCTTTTCCATATAATATTGGTCAACATCTGAATTTTCATCCTTCTCTGACCATTAAATGGTTTCCCTGCTATTATAATTTCACTCCAAAATCAATTTAATTCATAAAATCTATCACTATTAATCTGCTAGTCTTAGGAAAATGAAACACTGTGTATTTTTAAAACTGACACTACTAAAAAGGAAAATACCAAGCTAAAGGAAAGTTACTTCTGGCGGTCCTTAGGGCCGAGTCTTAGGACCAATCTCATTCACCATTTTCATCAGTGGCATTGGCACAAAAAGAAGGAACTCCAGTGAAACCTGTTGATGATGTGTATCTGGGAAGCCTTATGAGAAATAGCTGTTTCTTTTTTGAAGCAAGAGCAGCCACCACCTTTAAACAATGCATGAGTAAGGCATGCAGGATTAGAAGTTTCTGATGGTGCTGTGTCATGGAGATTTGTATGCCTGTACAGAGAGGGAAAAAGCACAGCGGGAAAAAAACAGTAAAGTAGTGAAAAACCAAGGGCATGGCTGGGAAAAGCTCTGGAAGTCCAGCATAAGAAAGAGAGAGAGAGCGTGTGAGAGATGGCAAGAAAGAGAGAAAGATAAAGTGAGAGCACTTTTGGCCTAAATATTGGCTGGAAAAGGGGATGAGGACTGAGCAGAGACGCTTGACCCTGTTTAATTCATTCTGTTTGGGAAACAGGGTTGCAGCAGATGCCTGGCATTGTCTGATCTTGAATTGCCTGCTAATTCCTCTGACCGGAGGGGATAACAATAACCAGAAATGGCTTTTTTTGCCAGAATTTTCAGGTTGTGTCAAACAGCTATAGCAGCCTTAATATCATCTGAGGTGAGTTGTTTGTTAATGCCCTGGAGAAAAAGGATGACCATACTATGTTCGGGTTGCTTCTTGGGAAGGAAGGATAGTTCTGTTTTGGTTTTTTATGGCTCTATATGTCTTGTGCAGAAATATTTAACTGAAGATTTTACCATCATACCTACAACATCACAGAGTCACAGGACAGTTGAGGTTGGAAGGAAACTCTGATCATCTAGTCCAATGCTCAGAGAAGGGTCAACCATAGCAAGTTGCTCACGCCGTGCCCAGTCCGTTGTTATTTAGTAAACAGAGAATAAATTTCTTCTGCGTCTTCCAAAAAGCTTTAATATAAGTAGCAGTTCTGAATGTAAATCACTCTGCTGGGATTTTATGAAGCTTTCTGCACTCACCTGGTAGCACCAGTAATGAATGCTGCAGTCCCATCCTACTGCAAGTCTTCAATGCTTATACATACCCCAGGTGCCGTAAAGGTTTTCTTCTGAGTTTTAGCTTTATGCCTCTGCTGAGACTTAAACCAGTGGGTCCTAGCTGGAATAGTCTTCACAATTAGGAAACAAACACGTTAAACCATTTTACTATTTAAGCTGAAAACTGCTGTCCTCATTATCCTCTGTTTGTGAAGGTTCTCTCCCACACAGAGCTGTCACTTATGCGAGAGAGGCTGAGAGGAATATCTGATGGGAAAATTTAGGTCCAGAGGCAGACATCCACTCTAGTACTTTCTGAAGGGCATGAAGGTACATATTTAATTATCTGGTTTTATGCAACTGCTGTTGTTATGGTATTCGTCATGTAGTAGTCATCACTATAGCATGAAGTAA